ATGGTTTTAATGCATCATTGTCTACATTATAATATATACCATGTGGCAATTGCAACTTATAGATGCCTCTTTTCTGTGCGGGGTTAGGAAGAACGTGGGGGAGCACCGGGGCAGGTGCCGACGACGTGGCGCATGCGGGCACCGTGTCGGCGTGCGCCCGGGCAGTGGCCTGGCGCCAGGCTTTGGAGCTGCTGAGGCGGGTTTGTGGGAGGAGCCCTGTCGTGCGTTTGAAGTGCAATTGACATACATAATTGACCAATTACGTGTAAACCCCAAGATTGGCACCTGTCAGTTGAAGGATAGAATGGATAGACTTATACACTCAAGTACTGCCATTCATCAACAATGTCGTCTTTGTGCCACTTGCTGCTGGTGGTTTAGTGCTAGAATTTGCTGGCAAAGATTCAGATTTAAATTGCTGCGCACGTGGCACGTGATGCCCTGTAAATCAGCAAGATCACTTGACGCACAAAATATGAATCCTTTGATTCTGATGCTCTTGTGATTTTAAGACATCCTGCACCAGACCATTCATAATGCATCCGGATGCTAAGCATCAGGTGGGTTCCTCAAGACTAGAGCTTTCATACTCTCTTACGCGTTTCGATGACAAGTATGACGTTCGTGGGTTCCTTACCAACGTCATTCAAGGAACCCACAAAAGGCCACGTTCCCCAGAAGGCCACGGGTCGTCCGCCGACCCCGAAGACCATTGACACGTGGAAGACCTGTTTCCATGTGGTCCGACCTGCAGGAGGGGATGGACCCCAAACGGAACCCTGTTGCCGTTCTTCTCGAAGCGTTGCAGTCGACCTTTCCGTTGGTAACGGAAAACAGGTTCACAACAGAATCTGGGCACCAGGGATTGCCTGTCAGGCCAGAGGTCAGTGACTGGATGCCATCGCCACACACCTACCTACAAGCTCAAATGAAAGTGCAGAGGACATCAGAGGACTTTCATTTGGCCTTGTGGTTGTGATCCTTTTCAGTGCAAGAGCTTTCGCACATGTGGAGGCAACCCCCTCGTGACACTTCAGTACCTGAATGGTGCAAACCCAAGCTAGTCTTGCATGATGAAAGCGATGATGCTGAGCTGGTCCACAGCATGAGCACAATAGCGGACTTTTTGGCTTCAACTCAAGTCCGCTATATAATTACTTGACTTCAACTTCAAGTCCTTGAGCAAAGTGCTCCAACGAGTGCTCTTTCGATTTTTCCCACAAGCACCGGAAGAATCTCAACAAGCCTTGGCATGCCTGCGACCAGCTTGAGGCCATGATGGTGCTTGCAATACCATGGCTGGAAGGATAGCGAAAAGTACACATAGTACACCAACATTCTGACAAATGACCTCTGCTTGTCATGTGCCCTTTGCCATGTTCAGGATTTTGGCCTCAATCATCATATCAAGCCATTTTGGGGAGCTGATCAATCTCTTGCTGCATGCTTGGCGATATATATATATATATATATATTTAATCTCGCATCAACCAATTCCTGCAACTCATCTTACCAAACCTCTTTGTGGAACTCGTCCTGGATACTTCATTTCTAGAAAAACATGTGGAAGGTGTTGTCGAGACCTTTTGACATACGTTCGAACGATATGCTTCAACATGTCAAGCTCACCTGGGAGACCATGTTCTGCGAACTCTCATCCATTTTCACATCAAGAGCCTCATCTCCTTTGCTCAATTTGAAGCTCATCTCCTTTGGGATTGCCTGCCAGGCCAGAGGTCAGTGACTGGCTGGACGCCATCGCCACACCGGCCTTCACGGTGGCCGTGGCCGCCTGCGACCGCGCCAGCTTGTGGCAGGAGGCACGAGTCAGATGGGTTTTTCTCGTCAGGGGTAGAAACGACGTGTCCGCACTACGTAGTCCAAACAGCTGGGGTGTATAGACATCAAAAGATTTAGACTAAAATATGTTAGCTAACATGTTAGCATCAATGAGATACATGGGCCACCACTAGGGTTTCATATACCCCGACATGGTCACTGAAAGCGTTGAACGGTGTGAGTGCCAAGTTTCAGTTTGCTTGAAGATTAGGCGGTTTGCTAGCCCCCCCCTCCAGCGAAACGCAGGAATCCCAGTACGAAACCTATGGAACGGTGTGACATGGTGTGACAGGTTGCCGCAGCACCCCTGCACTTGTAAAGCTGGGGCCCCTGCCTACCCCTTACAAGTAGGATTCTAAAGGTGGGTTTGGAGAAGAATGATTGTGGAACTTCATGGGCGGCCTGGAATGGTATCACAGCCCTCCTTCCGCCAGGCACTGGCTGTCTTTATGGAATCTTGGCTAGAATCTTCCATGGAACTGTGAACTCATCATGGGAATGCAAGCATGCAGGCAAGTGTTTGCACGACAGAAAGGCCATATATATATATATACATATATATATATATGTTTTAGATGCTTTTTGCACCACTGGGCTGCTCAGTCGCTTGGTGCGATGTGCCACAACTGAGCAACACCCACGACGGGTGGCCGTGACCCACTGGACATGCAGCTAAGGACATGAAGCAGAGAGGCTATGCTGGGGGCTCAGTGCCCAGCTGAAGGCCTAAGGCGCCTGTGGCCAATTATATGTGAAATTATAAATTATAACATTACATAACACCATTTTACATAGCACAAGCAAGGATAAGCATGATGCCATCCTTGCTTTGGATGGCCTCCTTGGACTAGAAATCGCCAAACGGCGCAGCGCGAGCCTGAAGGCTCCAAGCATTGCTTGTTTCAACAGCGCTTTGAGCGCCTGCAGCCGCTGTAGTGAGTGGCAACAAGCACTTGAGGCTGGGTTGAGTCAGGGACAGCAACACTGGTGTAGCCAGGACTCTTGACCAGTTTCATTAAACGTAAGTTTGAGATGAGTGTTCAGGTAGGTCATAAGTTGGAGCACTTTGTTTCTGTTCATAATTGCATGCAGTCATTGCGCATGCTTTTACCAGCCAAAAGGTTTGAGATTGACGGGTTCCCAAACACGCTCCAAAAGAAACTTGCGCTTCTTGAATTTACCTCCGAGCCACCCTTACCCCATAGAATCCTACACAGGGAGACCTGGGGCCGTGTGGGCAGTCAATTTTCACAGCGGGATGCCTTTTATTACTCTAAAATATTGTATTTTTATATAGGCTGAATACATTTTGTTTAAACGGTGTGAAATTTTACCGTCCCACACTTGCCACACAAATTGGACTTGTTAATTCCATAAACCTTTTGCGGAATGAAAGCTTGCTTGGGCATGCTTGACGTCAGTGCTGTTGATTTGGAAAAAGCACCAAGTCATCAGTGGCCTTTGGGCAACGCACTGGCATAGAGTCTTGAGCACGCTGTGCAATATTGCTTTGCAATTTCAACAATTCTTAACATATTTAACATGTTGTGTTATTGTATTGTATAGCATATTTAACATGTTTAAATATGTACCATTTTGTATTGCAATTTCAACCATATTTTGGCACATGCGTTTGTTTTGCCCCTCGGGGCAGCGGACATCCTCCAGGTTTGGCATGGCACACCAATGCCGAATGACATCGTCGCTTCCGGGCTGCTCATCCGATGCTGGGACCGAATGGGTGCGAGGATGTGCAAGGCTCCGTCCAGCTTGTCGAATTCTCACATTTAGTTCACGGCCCGATGGATAAAATGATTTTGATGTTCAAATTAGCCAGCCAAGGGGGTCATGATTCACATAGAGTGGGCTTTGGGATTGCTTTGGGCAATGTCATGAGCAAGGAGTCGAGTCATGTCATAAATCATACGTCAATCATTTTGGACCCAGAAAACATAAAGAAAACTGAGTCAAACAAAAGGCAACTTTGTGCATTTGCTTTGATGTCCGAGTAAACATCTAAGGAGCAATGGAACGAGCAGGCTGGTGATCGAGTCACCTGCTCAGGATGGTCCGGACGGTTAACCACTATCTATCTCACACTATACTTATATACTGACTCCCCAATATGTGGCGTGGTAAATGGCCTTTGGGAAAATGATTGTCCTCCAGCAGTTGTGTGTTCCACCTCGATGTGTTTTCCATAGGGTGCGAGTGGCGGTCTTTCTTGTCTATTGTTATTGTTTGGTTCCTTTAAGTTTGTGCTGTGCACACTCTTCGGGCAGCTATATCATGCTATATCCCCATCAGTTCAGCGCAGGCGGATTTGCGGCTGAATCCCTGCGCCGCAGTTTTTGAAGTGGCCACTTTCTGCAGATGATCTGCAGATGTCTCCTGACTTATGAATTCTCAAGTTGTTTAAGGAATAGACATACTGACATACTCAAGGGTTGTTGTGCGTGGGCTTTTTGTATGCCAAACTTGGGTTTCAATCGTCATGTAAACCGACCTCTCCATTTTTCCCCAGCCCTGAGCCCTCGTGGAACTCCCTCAGCAGGCGAATGGGCATTGGGCTTGGAACTGTTTCATCAGCAGGAATCCTTGGGCGGTTCCTTGGGCGGCTTTTGCTTCGGGTGATGGGGAGGTGGAGGGACGTCTAGAATTGGGGATGACGAACTCGCGGAGGATTTCTGTGCACAAATTAAAAATGGGAGCTATAGAGTAAATCGTATATTATGGTATAATATGTAGCTCATTTATAGCTAGAAAATGCTTGAAATATACACATGGATGAGATCCCATCCGTTGAAATTGTAGCCAAATGCAGCTGCTACGATATGCTCTGACCGCAGATGGTCCAACTGTTGGGGTCCAATCGCTTCGTGACGCTGGCATCGCCACACGGTCAGCTTCGGATTTCGCACGAAGCTGGAGGTCCTGTTTGACCAGTGAGTCTCTTGAAAAAGAACAATTGGAAGATGGGTGGAACTCCCTCGATTGTTCTATCATGTCCACATACGCATACGGATATATATGTATATATATATATGCACATAATGTCAACCATGTCTACGTGCCAAGGACTCCGACCAGTTTACGCCCGTCTCAGCCTTCGTGCATGTTGCACCAAAGCCACCCTGGGCGACCTGTTCCTGTGGTCGAGGCACAGTGGCTTTCACCGCAGCGATCTCCTGCTGTGCCATGGCCCGTCAGTGGCAGCAGACCTTGGAACTCCTGGAGCGCATGCGACACACCCAGGTCGGCGCGTGACACAGGGACGAGACCGGGGAGTGTCGACACCTGGGCAGCCTGACCTGGAATTTCTCAGAGGATTCAGGGCTTCAGCATCAGCTCAAGGCATATGTGGAGAGCTTCACTCGCGTGGCTCCTCAGGGTTGGTGCCGATGACACGCCCACCAAGGTGCCCATGACGCGCAGCACACGGAACGCTGCTTTGTGGGGGCCCCAGAAAGAACGCGGAGAGGTACCTGGGCCGGGTTTGGTGCCGTTTTCTCAAAAGGGATGTTGCGTGTAGCCCAGTAGTCCGAGTAGACTTCAGTAGTCGGATTCTTCCAGCAGACGTATAGTATGTATATATATATATATGTATAAATACCACAATCGTCCAACTGCAAGATTGATACTGCGCACTTCTTCACCGGTGTTCCATTTGCATTTGCGAGAAGTGGAGGGCAAGTGGGGAAATTTGACTGGCAGATGATGAAAGGCCAAGAAAGCAGGCGCAATGTACTCTGTGTGGTGATTGATTTGGGTTTGCCACGGAACTGAGAAGATCTCCAAACTTAGCACAACGGGACCTTTCTTCTAAAGCCACTAACCTGGGGCCTCTTGTAACAGGATATTTGTGATGCACCACACCAGGCCTGGTGCCCTGCGCTTGCCCAGTATTGTCGTCGAAAGACGGGATATGTTTTCCCTCCACCATCCTCTACCATCGGTTACCATCGTATGTGAAATACTGCAACATGTGAGACACTATGAAGACAAAGGCCCAAATGCAGATGCTCCACGAAGCACAAAAGCGTCACGACGGCGATCATGACCTGCATGAGACCTATGGACATGGAGGACGATATCAATGTATCATATTATTATCTATATTTCAACCCCCACTTGTGAAGAGGTCTTACAATCCATGTGTGGAATCCATGTTTGGAGAGGTATCAGAATAAGAGAAAAAACAGAGTTTACGTGACTGGCAGCTCTTGATTGGATCTCGGACTGCGTCCGGAGCTGCTTCTTGACCACCGCCATGGGGCTTCTGGGCCGCTCGTGGGCGCTGCTTGTGGGGCTTGTTGGAGTTCGGGCAGAGTGGTACGACGGGATTCCCAGCGTGCAAGTGTTTGGACCTGAGCAGCAGGAGGAGGCCGAAAGCCACTTGGCTGCACTGGAAGTCGGGACGTTTTGTATAGAGAGTATAGTGTCGAACTGATCTGTAGGCCTAGGGGAATGCACGCAGCATGGGCCAGCATTCAGTTGGCAAGCCATTTGCCTGTTGTTTTCATGAAGCGCAGGTCTCCCCACTGGGGATTGAAATTGGTCAACCTAGTGGCCGTTGGAAGAAGGCAAATCTCTCAAATCCGTTGCTTCTTCGGGCACTTGAGGCTTCTTCCGAGATCACTACCAGAAGTATCGGCAGCTGGTCCTGGTGAAGATGGTAAGGGGGCGAACTGCGTGGGTCATGTGCGGTTTAGACAAGACGTGACCTTCCTTTGAACTTTTTTCCGCCTAGGAATCCCAGTGGCCCCAGGTTTTGCTGAGAGAAGATGTTCAAATCACAATGCCAGTCTTGTTTTCTCCTTCGCGTATACGGGTTATTTAAGGGCTGCCGCCCCTGCCGCCGACCCCGGGATATACACCAACAACAGCAATCACAGCAGCAGTAGTAAGAAGAAGACCCAGAAGCATCACAAGATCAGAAAAACCACTAGCAACAGGCAGCAAGAAGCATAGTAGGAATGCCTCTGTTCTGGCTGTGCTAATAGACTGGCGGCTGTTTGCGGGGGCTTTGTTGGACAGCCCAGGTGCTGAGCCAGCAAGGCTTGTGCTGCGGCAGCCCTGGTGCTGACCGTAGCACTTCCTGTGGACGGCCGCAGGTCTATCTGCGTGGCTGGAGAAGAAGAAGAAAAAGAAGAAAACGAAGTAGCAATGCCTCTGTTCTGGCTGTGCTAATAGACTGGCAGCTGTTTGCGGGGGCCTTGTTGGACAGCCCAGGTGCTGAGGCAGCAAGGCTTGTGCTGCGGCAGCCCTGGTGCTGACCGTAGCACTTCCTGTGGACGGCCGCAGGTCTATCTGCGTGGCTGGAGAATGGCAAGCAGAAGAAGAAGAAGCAGAAGAATAAGAAGAAGAAGAAGAAAAAGAAGTAGCAATGCCTCTGTTCTGGCTGTGCTAATAGACTGGCAGCTGTTTGCGGGGGCTTTGTTGGACAGCCCATTTTGGGTGCCTAACACCGCCTCTGAATCCCTAGAAAAAAAGAAGTTTGTGTCCATTTGTCTCGGTCATCTTGGCCCCGAACACCTGGTCCCGCCACAGCTTTTCCCAATCTAATTCTGGTCCAAAACGAGCCTCCCATGGTCGCACTTTGGGTGCCAAACGCCGCCTCTGAATCCCTAGACCTAGAAAAAGACAAGTTTGTTTCCATTTGTCTCGGTCATCCTGGCCCCGAACACCTGGTCCCGCCACGGCTTTTCCCAATCTAATTCTGGTCCAAAACGAGCCTCCCATGGTCGCACTTTGGCTGCCTAACGCCGCCTCTGAATCCCTAGAAAAAAAAGAAGTTTGTGTCCATTTGTCTCGGTCATCTTGGCCCCGAACACCTGGTCCCGCCACAGCTTTTCCCAATCTAATTCTGGTCCAAAACAAGCCTCCCACGGTCGCACTTTGGGTGCCAGACGCCGCGTCTGAATCCCTAGACCTAGAAAAAAAACAAGTTTGTTTCCATTTGTCTCGGTCATCCTGGCCCCGAACACCTGGTCCCACCACGGCTTTTCCCAATCTAATTCTGGTCCAAAACGAGCCTCCCATGGTCGCACTTGAATGACGTACACCGGCGCTGCCAGGCTAAAGGCTGCGGTGTCGGAGTGCCGCGAACGTACCAATCCAGGGAGGGTTGAGGGGTTTGAAGGGTTTGAGGGGTTTGAGGCGTTTGAGGGGTTTTGAGGCCTGGTAAACGACGCAATCTATTTCCACCAAAAACTACTCCAAAACAGACTCAACTGCTCGCACATTCGGGGCCAAACGTTGCGTCTGGATCCCTAGAAAAAAAACTAGTACATTCTGGCCCATCCGTACCCTGTGAACCTGAGCACCGGCACAGACCTTGCCACAAGAGATTCACAGGCACCGGCATCCATGGTGAGCACTCCCACACCTGTAATCCCTGGCGCGCTCCCCCTTTCTTCAGCCGGGGTCGGCGGATACACAAAATATATACATACTGGGCACACACACAACACACATACACATTACATGCTTTCGGGGGCTAGTGCACTCCCCGAAGTGACTGAACATGTGTAAGGCAAGCAAACATCAAACACCATAAGAAGCTAGCTGATCCTTTCCATTGCAGGGTGCCCTTTCAAGGCCACTGTGATGGGACATGTATTTTGTCGTAGCGTCGCCATCCATTTCATGCCCGACCCGGGCCACCGATGGGACACCGCGACCGCTCAAGCTCCCAGGCAGGCGGAGTTCTCCGCCGCTCGCCAGGCGGTGCTCCTGAAGCGAGGTGAGACGCGACCACCGGTGGAACGTTCAAGGGTTCATCATGGCCCTATTGATGTATGGGTATGAATTAAGTAGACCCGTCTACCGTCCATAGACTGGGGGTCTCTATTATTGAATGACGCGCCCAGATGTACATGCGATCTTCTTACAATGCATGGTGTTATATGATATGATATGCATATATATATATATACACCCTAGAAGTCCAAAGACTATATATGTTGACCGACTGAAGCAAAACAATGTCCTTTTCGGGTCATCTAATGACCATTCTTCTTGTAGTCTTTGACTCCCAGGGTGTGTGTATATATATATATGCATATAGATTGTCTATAGGTGCCAGGTGTCTATGTATCGCTGCATAGTGAAACTGTGAAATACATGTATATCATACGCGGCTGCAGGTTTTTCTTTCTTGAGCAACCATTGGGAACCAGACAGTGCTGTTTATGGACCAGGCGACCGGACTGAGCAACTGGACCAGGAACCTGTCCTCCCATCGTCGACTTCGGATGGGTCCCCACAAAAACCAGTCCGTGGTGCAGGGTGCACCATCAGCAGCAAGCTAACCCTCAGTTGAAGAATGTCACCCAACGATCCCACGTTGACCAAGAAAAAGCAGTTGCTCTTGGTTTGCCTAGGGTTTGGCGGAAACAGAGCGCAGATAGCTTTGATTTTTTGCATAGATGTATCCTGCTCTTCGACTGCGCAGAAACTGGGCACATAGTATCACATGTCCTATCATGTCCTTGTCACCACAACCCGCTCTGACAGTAATTCTTGAAGGTCAAATCTTCAGCAAAGGAGCCTGCACTATTTCTTAGGTCTAACTACTGGTCCAACATATGTCATCTTCACAATTAAGGTATGTAACTATCGGTCCCGAGCAACCTCCCCCCACCGGCACAGGTGACTACAACTTCTCCTTCGAGGTGCCCTTCTACACCAGCGTGGCCGGTGTCGGCCTTGGCCCCAACGAGGTGACGGTCCGGTCCTTCCGCGTCCCGTGCCTTGGAGGGCCGTCCCAACGGGAAGGGGTTTAGGGCGGGTGGCGGTGGGAAGAGAGGTGCAAGTGGGGTGATTCAAGTGTGAAATGATTTGGAGGGACCAGGTGACCAAGCCCAAATTGGATCCAGGTGGATTTGAATCCAATTCCTTTGCTCTCTTACTTGCCTTCAGCTACGGCCCTTTCGCTTGCAAAGATATGAGTCCGCAATATAGAGCCTTCAAGATGTTCCCGACTCATCCAAACGTTTGAGGGTGAGATGTTACGAGATGTCAGTTTTAACACTCAGCGATCAGGTGGTCAGACTGTCCTCCACTGTCGTCTATTTTGTCGACTTTGCTAAGGACCTCCTCCGGGCTTTGCACTAGAGTCACTAGAATAGACCCCACCTTTTGGAGGAGGAGATTGCGTATTTGCTTGGGAAGAGAAAGTGGAAGGTGATCAACTCCAAATTGACCTTGTAGGACATGGGATGCGGGTGAGGACCGCCTCGGTGGTCACAAAGATGTGGCAATTCAGGAGGTTGATCGATTAGATAGATAGGTCACCTGCGTTTCTTGATAGTGGAGGGCGAGCTCTTTGCATTTATGGGACATTATTGGACAGGGACCCTTTCCTACAGCCAATCCTACAGCGTGCGACGGGTCTAGGGACCCCTTACATCCCCTTACTGTAATGAGGTTTACCAGCAGATTTTGATGAT